AACCATAAATTTGTACTATATCAAAGATTAAGCTAATAAAAACCAACTGGCATTGTCGCCAAAGTTAAAAAAAAAAAGCATAATAGAATAACAGTTTGTTTTAAATATCATATCCATGAGAACCATGTTATAAAATCTACTTCACAATTGTATTTGACTAAATGTCATCCATATAAGAGCAACTAAATGATTATTTGTCCCTTCAAACTTTGCCTCAACAAAATAACCAGGATCATCACGTTGTTTTTTAATCAATTCCAAGTATGTGCTGCCTGCATCATCTGCAACACGACTTTTATAATGGATCGTCTATATCATATTATATACATTACGAGCATGAATGTATTTTTCAGGGTTTTTTTTGTTGTAGAACCTTGATAATTAAACTGGCTCTAACACCACAAGATGCGAGCAATCTAATGTCATCCTGCATCTCCTTAGTTAATCTCCATATCTTGATTCAACTATAGTAATATTTTGAATCATCTCATAATTATGTGTACTAACAATACTTGAAATGTGGATTTGGTTATCATTTTTCTACCAATATAGATTTATATGAAAGGAACAACCTATGGTTTTATGATCCTGATCCCTCTTACCAAGTATATGTGCTTCTTTATGTGGCACATATCTCTGTTTATTTGTACACATATAGACATGCCACCAAGGTGTCTCATCAGATTTGTCATTTTCACTATGTGTAATACTAAATGCAAAGCCCAATTCCTGATCATGACATTCCAACCAGCTATTGAGTTTATATAAAGAAAATAATGATTATTCTTAGAAAAAACAGTAGATTCAAATGGATCTTTTTTTTAACATAAACATACTAGTTAACAGCTTTCCAAGACTCGAAAACCTGACTTTTGACTAACAGATAGGCAAATCTTGTATTTTCTTCATGTTCTTCATGATCATCTAATTCTGATTCATTGTTATCATCCATCCCTTCATTATTGTAAAAATCTCCAGAAATCTCGTTATCGTTCATGTTAACACTTATAAAACTTTCATTATAGTTCATGTCGATACTCATAAAACTCTTATTATTATTTATACCAAAATCATTATCAACATCAAAGAAATCCAAGTTATCCATAGCTAACAGTGAGGTGCCCAAGAGAATATTAACTTACAAAAAGAAACTGACAAAAAAATAATAACAGAAATAGAAGTGATGACAATTTATAAAACACATGACTCAGGAAGAAAAGAGATATTAAAAAAAGGTGACACAGAGAAAAATATCAGAGAAAGAAGTTAGTTTAGAAAAAAAAAAATAGTTTAGAAAGAAAGGCAAACTGAAAAGAAAAGATAAATCAGAAAAAAAAAACCTGGAAGAGAATATAATCTAAAGGTTACACATGACAAGAAAGAAAAAATGAAATTGATATAAAAGAAACAGCGAAAGCAAGAAAAAAAAATCACAGTGAAAGTGACACAATAAAAGCAAGAAAGCAATCAAAAAAAGCAAGAAAGCGAAACAAAAAAGACAGTAAACCTACCAAAAAAAAAGATATGATGAAAGTGATGTGAAAAAGACAGTACAAGCAACAAAAATAAAAAAATAAGGTGTAGAAAAAACAATATAGTGAAATTGAAACTGCAAAAGCAACAAGGCCCAGTAGATGCAACAAGGTAAAAATGACACGATAAAAGGCACCACGGTAAAAGCGCCATGGAAAAAGTGACATAGTAAAAGCACAGTATGAGTAATACAGTAAAAGTACAATAAAATCGACACAGTAAAAGTAACAAGGTAAAGATACTACCACAAAAATGGTACTGTAAAAATGAAACTACAAGAGCGACATGTTAAAATAATTAAAGCAAAAGTTATATTGTAAAAATAGACTACGATCAAACGATACTATAAAATGCTATAGTGCAAGAGAAAATTGTAAAATCATCTGTAAAAGGCAAATAAATATTAATG